TATAGATACAACTTTTATTACACATACACATTACATAGAAATAACATTTACATTGGAATAAACATTTCTATTTAAACTAGGAATCCAAATAAAGTTCATATTACAAGCACGTATTAGATAAGAACTATTCTAATCAGAATCTTCCTCATATCCTTCAGTGTCTTCTTCGGTATCATAATCAGAACCCATCTCATCGTAACCAGTCTCGCAATCAGAAACATCATTGACTCTACCAGTTGGCGGAGGAACTTCAGTTGCACTTTTACATCAACAATGACTCTAAGAAAATTTTGAAAGTACATGCTGAAATCGAAAAAAAGTGGAGCATCGGATGAAGAAATATTTTGAAGTACGTTGACATTGTCTACATTTTCGTGTCAGCAATTGTCAACATTTTCGACAATTAGCGGCGACTCGATTAGGTCTTTAGCGGCGACTATTGTCGCTGGTATTGCTTCTTTGCATTCCTCGAGTATCCTAGCCGTTGGATTAGAAACACGATCGGATGGTCTTAATTTACCAGAACGTTAAAGTGCGAATCTGTGTCATGGGCTATTAGCGGCGACACCTACCTTTAGCGGCGACAATGTGATATGTCGCCGCTATTGGTGTAACCGCTAACGAATATGTTTCTTGTAGTCGTATGTTAACATCATTTTCATGGATAACTTCAACTGAGGTTAAGGTAAAAAAACACATTTTTATTTTCATGGAGTTTTATTGATTAGTGAGGATGTGGAAACACTGCAGTGAAGGAGACATACAACGCGTGACCCCATGAGCATTAATTAAGTGGTGTTAAAAATTTTCACATTCGATCGACTCAATTGTCGATATATAGTGGAACACAATGGATCTTACTATTGTAAAATTTGCTCCCTCATCATTCAAGGTTACCAGACGAACATTGATTATCCTCAAACGATATCTCAAATATGACTGTTTAAAATATTAATGGAAGATAACATACTTTAATTAATAAAGAAAATATAAACGAACATTGCTTTACAATAAACAAAAAAAAATCGATAACGTTAGAAAAAAGTTATATGATTGACATAGATTTTCTTATATAATTGATGTAAGAATGTTCTGTTGATATGTACCATTTCTCTAGAATGTCACCAACAATTTCGATATTTTCAAACCAATTGACAAAATCTTGGAAAACTGATTCCGATAATTCGGGGCTAATGCATGAACCACATGTTAATTATTGCAAATGGTGTTATTATAGCAAGCAAGGGTCCACCACCTCCAATCAAAATGAGCCATTGGTAATCATCTAACCACAAGTTAAGTTAAGATATGTTTGTAAAAACTAGTATGATACTGAAATCTAAAACCAGAAATTGTATTATCTGTGCATAATTTAATGTTCTATAAAAATAGTTTTAAGATGAGAAATTAAATTGATTCCTACTTTTTATACCTACATATATTCCTACCCATTAATATAATGATACGTATCATTATTCTACCATTCAATTTAATTTGATTTGATATATTTCTAATATACTTTTAATGAGATAGTTAAAAAAATATGGAATGTTGACACTTGTAATAATATTAATGGGTAGTAATGTTTGTAAGCATAAAATGTAGGAATCAATTTAATTTCTCTTTTAAGATTTTGGAATGTGTAAAGTTATATAAAATCAAAAACTAAAAATTAATAAAAGTTAAAAGCTCTAAAATACTTTTGGATTAAAAGCTTTTTTTTTTTTTTTTTTTTTTTTTTGTAAAAATAAAAGTTAAAATTGTGTTATTACTATACAAACTTTTTCTCTCTAGAATTCAAGATTTTTATTTATATAAAAATCAAAAATAAAAAATCAAAATGCTTTCAAAAGCTCATCACACTATTTTTTCCACACAATTTTCTTTCATAATTTCAAATTAAGGTATATCATAGTGATTATTTTAATAGATGCATTGATATAACAAACTTTAAGTTTTTTTTTACTACAAATACAAAACGATACAAAATTTTTATATCAAGCTATGCATGATTTCATGTACACGTATTAAAGTTGCGTTATTAAGTTGAAAACTACATAACATCTTGCATGTATACATATGTCTTCATCAAAAGTCTATTTAAAAATTCAAGTCGATATAGTCACATGCAAAAAAAAGTCGGTCATAACTCATAATCTCATAACCACAAATGCCAAAGAACAGTCTAGTGCCCTTCACCATAAGTCATCCACTACTCATGAAAAGACCAAAATGCCCTAGACTTAAGACTACAATGTTCTAGGTTGAGGTAAAATGTTGTTACGTATTAGTTTAAAATACTTAATTTTTTTACATAATGAATTTAATCCCATAAACTATGTCACATATGAAAAGAGAGACACCATAATAGACTTTCAAGGACAAAATTTTGATTTAAAATGTAAAATCGATTTGAAAATCTTTACAGATATTGTATTGTATTGGTTTGATATGGAGAGTCAAACCGTGGAACGTTACTCTGAAAAGTCAAATGGATTTAAAATGATGAGAAAAGCTCAATGGTTGAAATTGGTTTGAATTATTCAAAGCCTCACTTTTAAATTCTCATGTTCATATTTGTAAACCTTTTTCATTTTTTGGCCTTTGGGAACGCGTCAAGATTTAAAAAAAAAAAATAGACAATGAGACGTGGGTTTACTACACTCCACTTCTGTATGTTCATTATTCACAAAACTCCAATTTTTACGATCATTCTCTCATCCACCTATAATATGAAACTAGGAGACTGAATTATTACATAACCAAATATATACTATTTTTTAACCAACAATTTTCAAATCATGACAAACATCCCCATTGCTTATAAATTCCATAAAATAATATGGTATTTTCCTGCTTACACTTATCTTATATTTACTTATTACTTGTAATTAGTATATACTTATGTTATCCTTATGTAGCCACTTAAGGCATTTATAACCCTGTAGAGTGTAGAGTTCAATGGACATGCTACATTATTACCGCATCACTAATACATATACAATTTTACTTTTAAAACTCACAACCCATTAAACATCTAATATTAATCTTCACTTCTTGAAGTACAATTTTTAAGTTACAACAATAACAAGGTTTAAAGCCAATTAAAGAATACTCAACTCCATCTACACTTTAACAATGATTATAGACATTATTCAGTGGCAAATTCGTCGCTAAAACCAATTACGGATTACCAACAAATTTATATTAAATTTACATTTAACGAGAAAATTTGAAGAATAATCTGTGTTATGTGTTACCTCTCACTCTACTAGATCTCCCCATGCATCACTTTATTCTCTCCATTTAATGATGATTAAACTCCTCAAAAATTTTCATATAATCACCTATTCTCCATTAAACACATGTTTAATCATAATAAACACGTGATTCAATTCCTATTCTCAATTTTGTATATCACAACTCAGCCATGTTCCATTATCGTTTTATTGTCGTAACTTAAAAATTGTATTACCTATGGAGTCTAATTCAAGTTAAAACTAGTTGGCTAGGGTTGTCTTTGCCTCCAAAACCAGAAGATCCGAGGATGTTTAAAAGTCTATTTTGACCCCAAATGTACACTGTCCTTCAAATAAAAACGCAAAAGCTAATTTAAAGAATGAAACTTAGTCACGAGGGGTATTTATGGTAATCCAAATCCAAAAAGTCAACTATTCAAAATTTCAAAACTACAAAACCAAGTATTTGTAAATGTCAAAAAAACGAATCATCGTCACCCACCTATCAATATGGCAGCCTTTTCCTTCTTCCTGTTTATCGCCACCGTTTCAACTCTCTTCGCCACCTCATCATCAAGCACAATCACCGTCAACCGCAACCTCACCGACGGCCAAACCATCATCTCCGACGAGGAAACCTTCAGAATGGGATTTTTCAGTCCCACAAACACTTCAACAAATCGATATTTCGGAATATGGTACAACAAAATAACCGTCACGACAGTCGTATGGGTAGCCAATCGAGAAACTCCACTCAACGACACCTCCGGCGTATTGTTTCTCAGCGATAACGGAACTCTCACACTCCTTAATCGTACAAAAAACGTAATCTGGTCGTCAAACTCGTCGGAAATCGGAAATAATCCGGTAGCAAAACTTCTCGACACCGGAAACCTTATGATAAGAAACTCCGGCGATACAAATCCGGATAGTTACATATGGCAAAGCTTCGATTATCCCGGAAATACCTTTCTTCCAAGTATGAAATTCGGGATTGATTTTGTAAGAGGAATAAACAAGAACCTCGTAGCATGGAAAACCGAAACCGATCCTTCAGCAGGTGAATACACAAACGGGTTCGATCCCGAAGGGTACCCGCAGATTCTTCTAAGAGCAGGTTCAGAAGTGAGATTCAATTCTGGTCCATGGAACGGATTACGATTCAGCGGGATGCCAAATTTACAACAAAATGATATCTACACATTCGGATTCGAGCTGAATTCAAGGGAACTTTATTACAAATACGAGCTTGTGAACAACTTCACAATTTCCCGAATGATTTTGAATCCAAGTGGTGCGATTCAGCGACTCATATGGATCGAAAGAAGGCAAGTATGGGATCTTTATTTGACTGCACAAATGGATAATTGTGATCGATATGGATTATGTGGTCCTTATGGTGTTTGCAACATTCGTGAGAATCAAGCTTGTGGGTGTATGAGAGGGTTTGTTCCGAGGTTCCCGGATGAATGGCAAAGAGCAGATTGGTCAAATGGGTGTGTGAGGAAAGCTGAGCTGGGCTGTGCCGACGGCGGCGATGGGTTTGTGAGGATGGCCGGAGTGAAGTTGCCGGACACGAGAAAAACTCAGTATAATGTGAGTATGAATCTTGAAGAATGTGAGAGGATTTGTTTAAGGGATTGTAATTGCACAGCGTATTCGAGTATCGATGTTAGAACAGGAAGTGGGTGTTTGATTTGGTTGGATAAGTTGATGGATATTAGGGTTTATGGTGAAAATGGGCAAGATGTTTTTGTGAGAATGGCTGCTTCGGAATTACGTAAGATTGGAATTTGGAATTTGATTTTTTTTTTTTTTTATTGGTTGAGTTTTAATATTTTTTTTTATTGAAATTTTAAATTTCATTATGTGACAGATAGGAATGCTGAAGCGAAGAGGAAAGTTAGGATTATAGTGATTCCGGTGCTCGTGGGATTTGCTGTGATACTCGGATTTTGCTTGTTTGTTTTCTACAAGAGGAGGCAGAAGAAGAAAGGTAATTCCTTTAGAGGTTTACTATAAACTTATATTTTTTATAATTAAATTAAAATTTTTGTTTTATAAAAGTATAAATATAAAAGGATAGAAAAATGTGAATATAATAATTAAATATATTGAGAAAAGATTTTTGTAATAGTAGAGATGTGTTGAAGTTTAAAAATCAACCCATTATGGGAATGCTTAGAGTGTATGGTTGAAAATAGATGAAAATTTGATAATAATAAAAATCATTATTGTTTATGTTTTTTATATGGTGGTGGAATTTTTCATAATGCTCTCTATCTAACCTCTACCATGTTGGATTTAGGGTCATTTTGTCCATCTTATATATTAAACCCCATTTTATTGATTATATAGTGGTACACAATTTTCACTATGGAAGATTATTTTATAGCAATTGAACAAAATAAACATTAGTAGTCAAACCTTTTAAAAAATAGAGGTGCGTAGGTGGAACAAAAATGAAGGTTGGTTACTATTTAATTACAACATTTAAAATTTGTTGCCACGTCTCAAATCTATAATCAAACTTGTAAACAAGTTATACTTTATATTTTTACACAAATTAAACAAAATTGAAACTTGGTAACTATTTAATGACATTAACCCTATTCAAAACCTTTAACTTTTTTGTCTCAATAAAGATTATAATAAATTATCTCTACAGGAATAACTAATCTTGTTCGTGAAATCAACTTTGCTATTGATAACGAGAGGGAAGATTGGGAATTGCCAGTGTTTGGATTCAACACAATAGCCAATGCAACAAACAACTTTTCAGATGAGTGTAAACTCGGAGAAGGTGGTTATGGGCCTGTCTATAAGGTTTGTTTCTTTTCTAAACTGAATGAACTGTCTGAATCTGAAACAGACTAAATAAGCATTTTACTCTTAAATTTTAACGATATTCATCATTTTTAACGTGGAAGTAGTTGGGAGGCGAAAAAAAAGGAAATAGGTAAATGGTTAATGTCTACGGATTAAGTGCTTAACTTATTAAGCCCATTAAGTTAAAAAGAAACAACTCCTTACTCGTTAAAAAAATCTACCAAATCCACAGTTTATAAATGATTTGATTTCTACAAAATCTCTTTAGAATTACTAAATAAAAATTATCATGATTTACAGGGAACATTGGAAGGGATAGAAATTGCTGTGAAGAGACACTCAAGAAAATCAAAACAAGGACTAGATGAGTTTCAGAATGAAGTTAAATGTATTGCTAAACTTCAACACCGAAACCTTGTGAGGCTTTTAGGATGTTGCATTGAAGAAGATGAAAGGATGTTGATCTATGAATACATGCCCAATAAAAGCTTGAATTCATTTATTTTTGGTGCGTTTCTCTTTAATCCTCACCACTATTCTTTACCTTATCTATTAACGTCACTATATATATTAATATGGCTGATAATATTTGAACAGATGAAAGAAAAAGAAAGACACTTGATTGGTCAAAACGCTACACTATTATAACCGGAATTGCAAGGGGTCTTTTGTATCTTCATCAAGATTCCAGATTAAGAATCATTCATAGGGATTTAAAAGCTAGCAACATATTGTTAGATAAAGATATGAATCCAAGAATTTCAGACTTTGGTTTGGCAAGAAGTATGGAAGGAAGTAAAACAGAAGCAAATACAAGAAGAGTAATGGGAACATAGTAAGAACTTATATAAATGGATAAACTTTAATCTTTAATTACACCTAATAAAAAACTAATTGATTTTTGTACATTTTATTTCTTGTAGTGGCTACATGGCACCAGAGTACACCATTGATGGGATTTACTCCACTAAATCTGATGTCTTCAGCTTTGGTGTATTGGTGTTAGAGATAATAAATGGAAAGAAAAATAGAGGATTTCGTCATGCAAATCATGATCTTAATCTTCTAGGACACGTAAGTTTCAATTTTCAACACGTAAAAGTCTTGAAATATTTCATTTTTTTTTATGTATTAACATGACATATGTTGGTTAGGCATGGAGGCTGTATAAAAATGGGAAGCAATTGGAATTGATGGATGACACTATTAAGGGTTCATACGTACACACACAAGTGAAGAGAGCAATTCATATTGGTTTACTATGTGTGCAAAAGTATCCTGAAGATAGACCAGATATGCCTTTGGTTGTTGTTATGTTAGGTAGTCAAATTCCGTTACATGAACCTAAACAACCGGGTTTTTATACAGAAAGAAGAAGACCACAAGAAGCAGATTGTTCATCTAGTAATCCTGAATGGAGTTCATCAAATCACTTATCTGTTACGTATCTTCAACCTAGATAGAAATTGGTATAAGTGATTTCT